AGAAAGAAAGAAAGAAAGAAAGAAGAAAGAGAAAGAGAGAAAGAAAGAAGAGAAGAGAGAGAAGGAAACAAAGAAAGAAAGAAAGGGAGGGAGGGAGGAAAAAGAAAGAAAGGAAGGAAGAAAGCAAAGCACTGTATTTACAATACACTTTACCCAGATTCCAGGGAAATTGAAAAAAAACAAACAAACCTCGATTATACTATAAAGTGGTGTCCATACTAGCTGATATATGAGTTAAAAATTTATGAATAGATCTATAAGGACTTCTGACACAAGATTTTCAAAGTTGAGAAAAGAAAGGCATTTTTCTCATCAACCCTAATTATTAAACAAATGGTTAGTATTATTTTTAGATGCAAAAATGCAAGCACATTTTATTATACATATTGATATTGATTGAATTTACCAAATGGAGAGTCATAAAATTCCTGAAGGCGCAACTCAAACAAAATAATTTAATAAAACTAATATATATTGGAAAGACCTAGTATGTAGAATCCAGGATTAACTTGGTAACTTCTGAGGAATTTGCAAAATGAGACATGCATTTCAATACCTGTTCTAGATTCACTAATAATATGAAGTTGAAGGTGTAAGGGAAACAGTAGATTCAGCAGGATGACCACAGGAAAATGATTGAGTTTTGATCTGTTTTAAGAATCTCTAGAAATAAATATAAATGTAAAGTGGGTTTAATTAAAATCAACCAAAGATGATTTCCTTATCCAAATTATCAAGAATAGTTAATATAGACCCTTTGGGGGTTTAGGAGAGTGTAGAAAGAAATTATGCTAGCTTCTATTGTGCTCAGCTTCTTTTAGCTGTTTATTGAAATGTGTCAACTTTATTGTTAATATTTCACTGATGGTTCGTTCTTCATCTCTTCAATATAGAATTCAATTTAAAATAAAATCCAATATTCCATCTGAAAATTTCAATTCCCACCAGAAATATAATTCAATTAAGTTCCAAATAGTTCTTTTAAAAATACAAAATAAAATCATTCTCTCTACATATGCTATTTCTGCTCAGTTCCAAAAGGATAAAAAACTGCATTTGTTTAGTTTTGGTTCATCTATCACTTTGTACATTTTTATGGATTTTTACGTGTAATCACATTTTCAGGGGGGATTTTTATATACTCTGCTCCATTTCTGCAGAGTTATTATCTTTCAGCCTTAAAATTATAAAAATTGATACACAATCTTCAGTTTCTCTCTCCCTAGGAAGGTGATAGGTAGCCATTCATCATTCACTGTGACGGGCTAAACTCGCTTTGTTTACTGTAGTGAAAGTGGATTTTTTGTCCACTTGCCCCCTTCTTACTAACAATGGCTGTGGTGATCATAGTGGCTTTCCTGCCGGTGCTGGGGTAGAAGGGTGGGAGACAGGCACCTTATATCTAAGCCTGGAAAAGAATCTGCATTTTTTTTCTCTAAAAGCTTGATAAAGTACAGTATGTTATTTAAAAGTAACTTTCCGACTTCCATCTCTCTCTCCTGTTGAGGCTACTCTCCCTACATCTCTTTCCCCTGCGTCTCTCTACCAATTTGCTGTTTGCAAGATGACTGCTCTATCAGACATAAAATGCTGCCTTTTCACTTAACTATGCAACAACCGCTCTCTGTACTTCTAGGGCAGCCTTAATGGTGCATTATATTCCATTCAAGCTTCAACACAGCAAGAGAAAACCTACCTACAGGGATCATAAGTACTGATGGCATTTGCCACCATCTGAAAGCCTTGCATATGGCGTTATATTTACCTGAGCCATTCCGAAGAGTTATCATTAAAACACAATTGTGCTTTACAGGTGTCAGCTGGGCAGAGGTGAGGTTTAGAATCATTTTTTTATGCTCCTTCCCTGTGGCTTTTGTTGAGGCTTATTCTAATCCCTGGGTTTGTGCACAGGACCACATAAAAAAGCTACAGACTTGATGTTGGCTTCCATTTGAATACCAACTGGAGAAATACCTTCCCCTATAGATACATTAGGAGAACGGGAGGTGGGAAGAAGCAGGATTGTGTTTAGGAAGGAGAGCTCTCCTATTGTGCTAGCTCTGTCAGGTGGCTTTCAACTCTCAGTTAAGTTTGAGTTAACCTTGAGTTTAACCTGCACTTCTGTGCTAAACTGCCATTGTCTGCTCAGGGACAAAGAATGCAAACTATTCTGCCACTGATCAGAATTATGTACATAATATGCACCTTCTTTGCCTGTTTACTCTCACCTGCTAGAAACTCACACACTTGGACAAGTGTGTCTTCTCCAAATGAGATGTAGCCAATAGTCCAGCATTTTGAGGCTAGTCACTTTGAGTGCAGTGTGACGGCTCTGATTTTCTGATGTCTGCAGGACAAACACGTGGAAATGACTCTTCACTGACCCCTCCCCTCACTATATGTGTTGGTTTTCCTACTCTGTGGAATGCCTCTCCACTTACGGGATTATGTCTATTATGTTCTCCTCTTCTTTCTTCTGTCTCTAAAACCAAAAAAGCATCATCATGCACTTCTTCAGATGAGAGTGACATTTCAGATATAAATTAAGAATGCTTGTTTAAATGGAGCAACGTTTGTGCACGTGCAATGTATTTGTGGTCTATGTGTGTACGTGTGTGTTTGCGTGCATGCATGGTTGCATGTATGTAGGATGGAGATGGAGGTTCATATCTGAAATTCCTGAATTCACATTTCCTCAGCTGAATGCCACCCAGAAGCTTGTTTGCACTTCTCTGGAGTACTAGCAGTGTTAGCTTCCTTCTAGAAGAGTCCTAATGCAGGATACATCTAAAGATATGGCTCCATAATGGTGAACAACTAATGTAGACTTGCCTTAAGCAAGTAGAGGCCACCGCAGTGATCTGGGCAAGCAGTAATTCAGCTTTCCTTCAACTTAATCATCAGGGCTGTATGACTGACACTTTCTTGTGTGAACCCCAAATATCTGAGACAGGTCTCAGTTAATTTATTTTGGGGATGGCAAAGTTTATTTTGCCAAGGTCAAGGACACGCGCCCATGACACAGCCACAGGAGATCCTGAAGACATGTGCCCAAGGTGGTCAGAGCATACAGTTGGTTTTATACATTTTAGGGAGACATGAGACATCAATCAACACAGGTAAGATGAACATTGGTTCAGTCTTGAAAGGCAGAGGCGGGAAAACTAGAAGTGGGGAGACAGCTTCTGGGTAGTAGGTAAATACAAGACAAACGGGTACATTCTTTTGAGTTTCTGATTAGTCTCTCCAAAGGAGGAAATCAGATACGCATTTATCTCAGTGAGCAGGGGAGTAACTTTGAATAGAATGGAAGGCAGTTTGCCCTGAGCAATTCCCATCTTGACTTTTCTCTTCAGGGGGCCCTAAGATTTATTTTCCTTTCATATATGTGAATGGATGGCAGATTTTCTCAGCAACCTTTAATTTGGAGAAAGCGAATTGATAAGGCTGTAGGATAATGAGTGAGAGCTCTCCCATTGTGCTAGGCTCTGGCGAGGTGGCATTCAACTTTCACAGTTAAGTTTGGGTTAACCTTGAGTTTAACCTGTGCTTCTGTACTAAACTGCCATTGTCTGCTCAGAGACAAAGAATGTAAAATGTCCTGCCACCGATCAGAATTATGTATACAATATGTACCCTCTTTGACTCTTCACCCTCACCTGCAGAGACTCTCACACACTTGACAAACGGGTCTTCTCCAAATGAGAGTGAGATGGATGAGAGAATATTTTACTGCCATCCTTAGAGGAGGCTGAATACATTCTTTCCTTCTTTCCTTCCTTTTTTCCTTTATTTATTCAGTAATTCTACTTAATGCCTGTTATATTCAACAGGCCAGGCACAGCCTCTGACCTCCTGTGGTTGGCTGCATACATCTGTTTTATTCATTCATCCAGGTAGGATCTAATATTCTAGCAGCCTAACCCAGTACAAGCCAAGGAAGAAGCACTCTTCCAAAAAAGAAAATTCATAAACCAAGTGGGGGAAGGCTGATATAAAAAAGATCAATGGGGAGAGGGGACTGTAGACCTCCCTGCCTCCACCAGAAGCTGCCTCCACCATCAAAGGAAAAGAGTTAATTTCAAGCCTGCATGGCAATTAGGAGGCAATCGTGGCTGAGGTCGGGGGCGGCGGGGGTGGGGGGATCGGTCAGGCAGTGGACCTCCCTGCCTCCACCAGAAGCTGAGGCAATCAAAAAGCTTGGGATTGCTGGCCCACCAGCAGGAATTTCCCAGCTAGACACAGAAACAAGCACCAACCCCCTACTCCTTCCAACCTGAGGATCCCAGAGGCCACAGGATGACTCTATTAGAATCCTTCACTCTCCACTAAAAGGAAAGATATTGACTCCAATGTTAACTAGCTTGGGCCCAAGGGCCACTCTTTCCTTTGCTCCTTTCAGGGGCCATCTCCCTGGGCTAATCTGGTGACCAACCTCAGGTGAGAAAAAAGAAACAGGCCTTTTGGTGAGTCTCTGAGCACAATGGGTTACTCTCCCGGATGAGACACAGAGCAAACACTTGCTTTGTGTGTGAACTGGTTCCCTTTCATGAAACCTTGAGTTTAACCTGCGCTTCTGTGCCATGATGCCATTGTCTGCTCACTTCCTCAAGCCTGAGATCTGGGGGCTTCTGTCTGCTCTTTGCATAAGATGGTACATAAAGATCTTATATACACATGTCCAAGTGGGCAGGCCTAGACAAGTGATCCTACAAATGCCCTCACCTTCAGCCCCAGTCCTCTGAAGTTGGTAGTTTGTGCTGAGAAATCTCTCGTCATCTTATTAAGTGGAGGGTTTTCTGAGTGACAACACATCCCTACTTGTGGAAGAGAGAGTGTTTGTTTCCTATTCAAATTGAAATCACATAATTGTTCACGACAAAAACATGATTTTCTTTTCCGCAAACACACAGAAGAAAGCAGCTGTACTCCTTACAGCGTTGTTCCAGTATCTTCCTGTCTCTGCCATGCTCTGGGTAAAGATCAGGGTCAGGGGAAATGAAGGGCTATGACTGCTTTGGAGTTGATTCCCTCCCACGTCCCTCAAATGCGTCGTCTAGAAAATTAAACTAAGATTTTATTCTTTACTTTTCACACTCCTCACTCCCAGGGCCATCCCTGTTCCTTTTTTTGTCTTTGCGGGGATGCCTAAGGGGCCATTAATTTGGTGTCCCTTTTTATCCAGGAGAATAACTGGGATGATTGTAGTCATATCCCAGTGTGTTATCCTTTAGGTAATCAAACGACAACAGTTAATTCCAAGCCTGCACAGCAATGTACTTTCTCATAATGGAAAGTAAACACTGTGTCACTTTCATAACACATTTAAAGAAGGTGCCTGGTGAATGCAATTCATTGCATCTGACAAAGACAGAAAACCTCACTGGCTCCTCCTGTGCCTCCCAGAGCCCCCACACCTGGACATTCCTCCAATGTATACAATAAGCAGTGCCACACACTGGCTAATATTTTCAAACACAACCTAGTTAAATCCTCACTAAAAGACTTGATTTAGAACTTTACTCTGGCCTATGTATTTTAAAAGAAAATCAGATTGTTCAGAGTTGAGTTGTTGCAAAGCTCATGTTTGATGTTGCTCGTACCACAGATTCTCAGAATGACAAAAAAAATATGGTGTTGAATTTATGCATACCTTCCCAG